TTATATATATATATATATATATATATAGTACATATAAGTATTACGTTTATGCTTTGTATTGCAAGAAACCCCCAAAAAAGAAACATTTATTTTGAATATGTATGGCAGCGGCAGTTTAGCGTTGGTTCGTTTTTCCACTTTTCCGCTTCCACTTTTATCCCAAGAAATAGCAAAAATCAGAGATATTAATTAAAAGTTCTTAAAACGCTAATTTTCGCCCTCATTTTTCCGAATGGCAACAGTGCTGATATCATCAACAATGGCGACAGGGATACAACAGCAAGAATGGTTGCGTGCCATTATTGCTGATGTAATGAGAGAGAATTACCGATTTTATCATTTTATCAAAAATGAATAAAACAAAATAAAAAAAATAAAATTAAAATGTCATTCAATTTTTGGAAACCTCGTTTCGAGGTGCACTGGCTCTTGTCTAGATGCAGCTATGTAGCACATTCGTAGGCCTGGGTCTATTAGCTTACACGCAGACCGAACGAAAGACGGACACATAGAATCTTACCTCTATTATGAGTAGAGTTATATATCAGAGTACCTTTCATTGTTACATATTCAAAGAATCCTTTTAATAACGTTCGAAACAATGAATTTACCAATTATTGTTTAAGGCTTTTGTTAAATTACGACAAAGTTAATGTATACATTTTTAACAATGCTTATAAACCATAATCATTAGAGATATCAAATCTAGTGGTGCTAAAATCTTACGTGTGGAGCTTATTTGCTTAAAGTTGTTATTTTTAATGCTGAAATCGCATTCGAACCATTTTTAGAAATGGAGTTCTTTTTTTTGACAGTATTGTGTTACGTTATTATACCAACACCCTTTATCGACAGCCTATTGGGCATACTTATTTGTTTTGCGACTGCCTTCCTTTTGTTTTCTCGAAGAGAAGAGAGAATTCGGGAAAATAATAATGAAAACTCTATTAACCGTAGTGAACACAAGTTTAAGTTAATAATGCCGGAAACAAGGTACGTAATTTAGATTTCCTTGATTCATATGCTGATATTAATGAATTTAATGATGATTCCTTTGATGTGGACATAGACAGTGACACCCGATCTCCTCGAAGTTAATAACGAAGCTTTTGATAATAATCTTCTTAAGTTGCATATTGATAGTGATACTGACCACATCGGCCATTTTTCCAAAGATTTCGATAATAATTCTTATGATGTGCACAATATCAGCGATGAAAAGCAATTTAATTACCTCCAACAGGAAACAGAAAAGGATTTTGATTTTCCAAAACCTGATAACTCAGGTAATCAAATAGGCACGAATAGCAGTATAACCATCTTGAACCAGGAAGAATTCAGTTTGAATGCCTCTATTGAATCATTGGATGCTGAATGCATTGTATCGCATAACGATCTTGGAACACAAAGAGACATCGATTCTGGTAATCTCCTTAACACAAATAATGAACCAAAAATGAATGGCAAACTGGATCAAGTAAGACAGAACAGAACTGAAACCAACTGAAGATTCTGAAGAACAGCTCGTTGATCTCGTCGTTGGTACCGTCCCTGTTATCTGCTTTGATGACGAGTACACTCAACATCCTTCTTCGAATCATAGCAAGCGTTTCAAAATTTCAAACATAAGAAAAACATTACTGAAATATTTCTGCTTTAAAAAATTAAAAATAAACAAAGGACTTAAAACATATTATATAGATCTGAGATAAGTTTACACAATTTCAGTTTGTATTCGTGATAAATTTGTTTGCCATGACACCAATCTCGACTGACCAGTACTTGCCTAAAAATTGGACATTGACTGACCAGTGACTGACTAAAAATTAGACATTTTCTGACCAGTCACTAACTGACGATCACATTGACTGACCAGGGCCTGCCTAAAAATTGGACATTGACTGACTATGTGACGGTCTCCTTGATTGCCCGTTGACTGACTAAAAATTGGACATTGTCTGACCAGTGACTGACTAACTGACTATCTCATTGACAGACCGGAGACTGACTAAATTTGGACATTGACTGAGCAGTGACTGAGTGACGATCTCATTGACTGAGCACTGACAGACTAAAATTTGGACATTCACTGAACAGGAACTGAGAAAGTGAAGATCTCCTTGCCTGACCAGTGACTGAATAAAAATTGGAACATTGACTGACCAATGACTGACTAAGTGACGTCCTTATTGACTGAGCATTGGATTTGGACGGAAGAAATTGCCTTTTTCGATAAGAGAGAGGAAAGATGTTTTCAGTCCAATCGATTGCGCTACAGCTACAGCTGAAATGGAAACAGAAAATCATTTTAAAATTCTTTTCTAGAGCTACATTTCAGAACTGCAAAATTTAAATGAAATTATATGGTAACCTGAAATTAAAATATTATTTGCAGTTAAATGCCGTTGCTAAATTTGTTTTTCTTGTGCTCTTAAATTAATTTACTAGTTTACACACCATATTCAGTTATGATTTACCAATATGCTCTATTTTAACTATAACTTCTCATTGAATTAAGTTAAGCTGTAGCTATTATTGAAATTTTTTATATGCATATTTTCCCTTGTTGTCTGTGCTCCCAATTCGAAGTGACCGTCAGCTACTTTGTTTTTTTCCTATGTGATTTGTCGGCATTTCGCATAAAAAACCTCCAGATTATCATTAAAACACGAATAAGGATGTTATTTTGTATTTTAGATTTTTTTCTCTCTGTGGCCTTCATGTCAAAACTTACTAGAAATAATAAATGAGAATATATTGCTTTCTTTTCAAACGAAGTATTTTCAATATGTGTCCATAGCAATATGCCCTGTGTTTAAGAATGCTAAGAGTTTTACCCTGTTTGATTCCCCGCCAACGTGCTGGCTGCATGGTTGGCTTCTGCAGTTTTCCTTATCTCGATGTATATTAAGAAGCATTTCCCATAGAACGTTCTCCGCTAAGCCATCCCTCGCGCCAGGCAGGTAACCATCCTTTTCTTTGCCCTTTTCAAATAACCTAACTTTTACTCAAACAAATCAGTCATGACATGAAATTTGGAAAGAAATTAATTTAAATAACTTTTATAAAAATGTCTCGATTGGATATATACTGGAAGTTAAAGAATTTACACCCCACAGATACATCCAAAACAAATATTAAACTGAAAGCTTTCAGACTTTGTATAGCGCCCAAAGGGATCATTTTTTTCATTTGCAGACATAAACGTTTGGACAGAATTCGGGCTAATGTCCCTCTGGGTTAAAAATATTTAAAAACAGCGTATTTTATAAATTAGAAAATGAACCTTTCATATACTTTCATATATTTGAATAAATATTTATGAGGCATTATTAATAAAAATGAGAATAAAGGAAACCCTATGAATAATCCTGAAACGTTTAGTCTGAAATTTAAAATTCAACGTAACTATCGCAAATGACTGAGTGCAGGGGGTGTTCAGGTATCCTTTTAAGGATTTTGCAAAGAATTATATATATAAACAATTGATTTTGATAATTCATTTTCTAATATATTCCGTCTGAGAGCCCTTTTGTTGAACCATCATATTACATCTTGATTTGTAAGAGAAAAGCCTTTTCCTGAAAACATCAAGGTTGATTTTATGCCACTTCTCCTTCACAATGTTCCACAGTCCGTCCAATGTTTGGGGATGCCACGTATAAAGAGCTTGTTTTAAAAGTACAAATGCACATTAATCCATAGGAGACACATCAGGAGATTTGGTGGATATGCATCTAGAGGGAATAGCTTCAATTGCGGTTTCATATCTCACTTTTTTCAAAACATAAAGCAGTAGATTTAGAGGTATGGTTTGTAGCCTTATCCTGATGGAACTTAATACAGTCAAGATTGTTTGGATAAAGAGATGGAATTTCGTCTTTTAATATAGGTGTTTAAAGTTATTTTTCTGATTGTAATCCGAATTGATTTTGATATTTTTTTCTACTTTCCTTATTTTAAGTTTCCCCTTATAAAAGAATCCAGTAAGAACAATAAAACCTTTAGAAAAAAAAATTTTTTTTTTTTTCTCTGAACCAATATATTAAGTCTTTTGCTCCTCTTTTTCGGCAATAAATTCATGTTTATCTCTTGCAATCGTTACACGTATGCCCAAGCTTCATGAGTTGTAACTACACTGAAGTGCCACTAAATTAGGGATAGACATGGCTATGCAAATTGAATAGCGCTGCGCCGCATCTGGGCTTACGTGAGGGAAGTTGTGGTAAAATGCACATACAGCTAGCACTATGCTTGTCGTTAATCAGTAGGTTTTCACAGTATAAGATAGGTAAACTTTCAGACAGTATACAGCTTCGTGTATCGCTCCCTTCACCATATGGGCTTCGGAAGCCGTAGACACACGAGGGTACCTACCTTTCCTAATTCCTAAATGCATGCCATCGAGTTGCCATTCTTACCTGGGCAAGAGAATATAGAGAATAGACACTAGTGGACATGAAATGTGTAGGAGTGATGAGTCTCGATCCCTCTAATTAATACCGATGGGAGGCTCAGAATATGGCGAGAGAATCATGAATGTATGAATCCGGTGTGACAGATTGGAACTGTACAAGGCCGTGGAGGCTTAATCATGGTCTGGGATGCTTTCTTCTGGTTGTGTTTGGGATCTTTAGTACTTGTTCTTACCTCCCTCAATATGATTCTGTACGTGGAGTTGATGAGCTATCATCTCCATCCATTTATGTCCCTGTCATTCACACGGAAAGGGAGTATCTCAGAAAGATAACTGCGCCTCTCAAAGGTTACGGTTGGCTACTGGTTGGTTGGATGGAAGAGCATTCCTCTGACTTCTCTGTCATAAATTGGTTACTTAAAAGCCCTGACTTGAATTCTACTGAGCATCTTTCCAAATTAGTATATCTTATTATTGAGGAATGTAGAGAATTGAAGTGTTATGTTCTATTCACTCGTTTTCCATGTTCAGAATGTCTGTTATGATGATCGTATGAAATGTCGCCGCCTGTTATGATGTCAGAATGTCGTCTGTTGTGATGGTTTCGTATGTAAGCATATGATTGATTATTATTTATAAGCCTTCCTAGCGCTAAATACATTCCCTCTAATGATATATAGGTCATAGGTCTTCGCTTATTTAATAGGTACAATACCCTGAAATCGTTTACCTATTTATATGTGTCCTTAGTGGGTATCATATAAAAGTGAAAAATAAATCCAAATGTTGGAACAAACCTGTTCACTTGAAGTTCGGAATCACATCCAATGTGATATGTAATGCAATATGTAACAGTGGCATAACTTGGGTAAAATAGCGATTTAAAATATCTGAAGCATAACTTTCACATCGTAAAAGCAAATTAGCACATCTGTAGCATAAAAACGTTGGCTTAACTTTATCCTCGTTAGTGCTACGGCTGTAGCGTCCTCCTTGCTCCGTGTCTTGAAGCTAACGGAATATCGTGGCGGTAGTTGTTGAGGCATGTAACATAAGTGAGCGGAGCATAGTTGCACAGACCAGTTGTTGAAATTTTTAACGCATAATACACATCAATGTGCTGCCCCAAGGTTTCGCAAAGTCCATATCGATTTATCAGCAATAATTAAGTAAATGTAATAAAGAGTAAATAATGAAAAGTAGAAAAAACACTATGTACACTAAGTACATCGATCACCAAAACTCATTTTGGTGTATCGTTCTCGCTAATTATATAACGTAAGTTCATGTTACGCTAACCAGTTGATTTTATCTTAAAGAGGTGACTATTAAAGAATTAAAAATAGTTTTGATATATTTTTGTATTGTGTATATATTTAGCTTCATTTTTACCCAGTCAAAGGTAGATGAAACCCTTTCCATCAGAGTGGCAAGGTAAACATGATTCTTTTCTGTGCTTTGCACTAATAAATCCAAGACAAATTCATGTTTTGAAAGTACTTTTTGTATAAAAAAATATTTTCTCCAGAGTATTCAAGTATTTTCGTTTTAATAATAATAATCTCTGGTTATATATATATATATATATATATGTACATATAAGTATTACGTTTATGCTTTGTATTGCAAGAAACCCCCAAAAAGAAACATTTATTTGAATATGTATGGCAGCGGCAGTTTAGCGTTGGTTCGTTTTCCACTTTTCCGCTTCCACTTTTATCCCAAAAAATAGCAAAAATCAGAGATATTAATTAAAAGTTCTTAAAACGCTAATTTTCGCCCTCATTTTTCCGAATGGCAACAGTGCTGATATCATCAACAATGGCGACAGGGATACAACAGCAAAAATGGTTGCGTGCCACTATTGCTGATGTAATGAGAGAGAATTACCGATTTTATGCGATTTTATCAAAAAAAAATAAATAAAAAAAAATAAAATAAAATTTAAAAAGTCATTCGAATTTTGGAAACCTCGTTTCGAGGTGCACTGGCTCTTGTCTAGGATGCACCTATGTAGCAAATTCGTAGGCCTGGGTCTATCAGCTTACACGCAGACCGAACGAAAGACAGACACATAGAATCTTCCCTCTATTGTGTTAGAGTTATATCAGAATACCTTTCATTGTTACATATTCAAAGAATCCTTTTAATAACGTTCGAAACAATGAATTTACCAATAATTGTTTTAGGCTTTTGTTGAATTAAACAAAGTTAATGTATACATTTTTAACAATGCTTATAAACCATAATCATTAGAGATATCAAATCTAGTGGTGCTAAAATCTTACGTGTGGAGCTTATTTGCTTGTTATTTTTAATGCTGAAATCGCATTCGAACCATTTTTAGAAATGGAGTTCTTTTTTTTGACAGTATTGTGTTACGTTTTTATACCAACACCCTTTATCGACAGCCTATTGGGCATACTTATTTGTTTTGCGACTGCCTTCCTTTTGTTTTCTCGAAGAGAAGAGAGAATTCGGGAAAATAATGAGGAAAACTCTATTAACCGTAATGAACACAAGTTTAATGCCGGAAACAAGGTACGTAATTTAGATTTCCTTGATTCATATGCTGATATTAATGAATTTAATGATGATTCCTTTGATGTGGACATAGACAGTGACACCGATCTCCTCGAAGTTAATAACGAAGCTTTTGATAATAATCCTTCTTAAGTTTGCATATTGATAGTGATACTGACCACATCGGCCATTTTGCCAAAGATTTCGATAATAATTCTTATGATGTGCACAATATCAGCGATGAAAAGCAATTTAATTACCTCCAACAGGAAACAGAAAAGGATTTTGATTTTCCAAAACCTGATAACTCAGGTAATCAAATAGGCACGAATAGCAGTATAACCATCTTGAACCAGGAAGAATTCAGTTTGAATGCCTCTATTGAATCATTGGATGCTGAATGCATTGTATCGCATAACGATCTTGGAACACAAAGAGACATCGATTCTGGTAATCTCCTTAACACAAATAATGAACCAAAAATGAATGGCAAACTGGATCAAGAAGACAGAACAGAACTGAAACCAACTGAAGATTCTGAAGAACAGCTCGTTGATCTCGTCGTTGGTACCGTCCCTGTTATCTGCTTTGATGACGAGTACACTCAACATCCTTCTTCGAATCATAGCAAGCGTTTCAAAATTTCAAACATAAGAAAAACATTACTGAAATATTTCTGCTTTAAAAAATTAAAAATAAACAAAGGACTTAAAACATATTATATAGATCTGAGATAAGTTTACTACAATTTCAGTTTGTATTCGTCATAAATTTGTTTGCCATGACACTCATCTCATTGACTGACCAGTGACTGCCTAAAAATTGGACATTGACTGACCAGTGACTGACTAAATGACAATCTCATTTAGTGATTAAAAGTAGGACAGTGACTGAGTAAAAATTAGACATTTTCTGACCAGTCACTAAGTGACGATCACATTGACTGACCAGGGCCTGCCTAAAAATTGGACATTGACTGACTAAGTGACTATCTGCTTGACTGCCCGTTGACTGACTAAAAATTGGACATTGTCTGACCAGTGACTGACTAACTGACTATCTCATTGACAGACCGGAGACTGACTAAATTTGGACATTGACTGAGCAGTGACTGAGTGACGATCTCATTGACTGAGCACTGACAGACTAAAATTGGACATTCACTGAACAGGAACTGAGAAAGTGAAGATCTCCTTGCCTGACCAGTGACTGAATAAAAATTGGACATTGACTGACCAATGACTGACTAAGTGACGTCCTTATTGACTGAGCATTGGATTTGGACGGAAAAAATTGCCTTTTCGATAAGAGAGAGGAAAATGTTTTCAGTCCAATCGTTTGCGCTACAGCTGAAATGCAAACAGAAAATCATTTTAAAATTCTTTTCTAGAGCTACATTTCAGAACTGCAAAATATAAATGAAATTATATGGTAACCTGAAATTAAAATGATTATTTGCAGTTAAATGCCGTTGCTAAATTGTTTTTTTTCTTGTGCTCTTAAATTAATTTACTAGTTTACACACCATATTCAGTTATGATTTACCAATATGCTCTATTTTAACTATAACTTCTCATTGAATTAAGTTAAGCTGTAGCTATTATTGAAATTTTTTTTAGGCATATTTTCCCTTGTTGTCTGTGCTCCCAATTCGAAGTGACCGTCAGCTACTTTTTGTTTTTCCTATGTGATTTGTCGGCATTTCGTATAAAAAAAACCTCCAGATTATCATTAAAACACGAATAAGGATGTTATTTTGTATTTTAGATTTTTTTCTCTCTGTGGCCTTCATGTCAAAACTTACTAGAAATAATAAATGAGAATATATTGCTTTCTTTTCAAACGAAGTATTTTCAATATGTGTCCCATAGCAATATGCCCTGTGTTTAAGAATGCTAAGAGTTTTACCCTGTTTGATTCCCCGCCAACGTGCTGGCTGCATGGTTGGCTTCTGCAGTTTTCCTTATCTCGATGTATATTAGGCGATTTCCCATAGAACGTTCTCCGCTAAGCCATCCCTCGCGCCAGGCAGGTAACCATCCTTTTCTTTGCCCTTTTCAAATAACCTAACTTTTACTCAAACAAATCAGTCATGACATGAAATTTGAAAGAAATTAATTTAAATAATTTTATAAAAATGTCTCGATTGGATATATACTGGAAGTTAAAGAATTTACACCCACACAGATACACCAAAAACAAATATTAAACTGAAAGCTTTCAGACTTTGTATTATGCGCCCCAAAGGGATCATTTTTTTCATTTGCACACATAGACGTTTGGACAGAATTCGGGCTAATGTCCCTCTGGGTTAAAAATATTTAAAAACAGCGTATTTTATAAATTAGAAAATGAACCTTTCATATACTTTCATATATTTGAATAAATATTTATGAGGCATTATTAATTAAAAATGAGAATAAAGGAAACCCTATGAATAATCCTCAAACGTTTAGTCTGAAATTTAAAATTCAACAATAACTATCGCAAATCACTGAGTACAGGGGTGTTCAGGTATCATTTTAAGGATTTTGCAAAGAATTATATATATAAACAAATGTTTAAATTCCATTTTCTAATATATTCCGTCTGAGAGCCCTTTTGTTGAACCATCATATTACATCTTGATTTCCAAGAGAAAAGCCTTTTCCTGAAAACATCAAGGTTGATTTTATGCCACTTCTCCTTCACAATGTTCCACAGTCCATCCAATGTTTGGGGATGCCACGTATAAAGAGCTTGTTTTAAAAGTACAAATGCACATTAATCCATAGGAGACACATCAGGAGATTTGGGGGATATGCATCTAGAGGGAATAGCTTCAATTCCGGTTTCATATCTCACTTTTTTCAAAACATAAAGCAGTAGATTTAGAGGTATGGTTTGTAGCCTTATCCTGATGGAACTTAATACAGTCAAGATTGTTTGGATAAAGAGATGGAATTTCGTCTTTTAATATAGGTGTTTAAAGTTATTTCTGATTGTAATCCGAATTAATTTTGATATTTGTTTCTACTTTCCTTATTTTAATTTTCCCGTTATAAAAGAATCCAGTAAGAACAATAAAACCTTTAGAAATAAATTTTTTTTGTTTTCTCTGAACCAATATATTATGTCTTTTTTTCTCTTTTTCGGCAGTAAATTCATCTTTTTCTATTGAAATCGTTACACGTATGTCCAAGCTTCATGAGTTGTAACTACACTGAAGTGCCACTAAATTAGGGATAGACATGGCTATGCAAATTGAATAGCGCTGCGCCGCATATGGGCTTACGTGAAGAAGTTGTGGTAAATGCACATACAGCTAGCACTATGCTTGTCGTTAATCAGTTGTTTCACATAATAATATAGGTAAAATTTCTGACATAGACAGCTTCGTGTATCGCTCCCTTCACCATATGGGCTTCGGAAGCCGTAGACACACGAGTTTACCTTTCCTAAATGCATGCCATCGAGTTGCCATTCTTACCTGGGCAAGCGAATATAGAGAATAGACACTAGTGGACTTGAAATGTGTAGGAGTGATGAGTCTCGATCCGTCTAATTAATACCGATGGGAGGCTGAGAATATGGCGAGAGAATCATGAAGGTATGAATCCGGTATGGCAGATTGGACCTGTACAAGGCCGTGGAGGCTTAATGATGGTCTGGGATGCTTTCGTGTTGTTGTGTTTGGGATCTTTGGTACTTGTTCCAACCTCCCTCAATATGATTCTGTACGTAGAGTTGATGAGCTATCATCTCCATCCATTTATGTCCCTGTCATTCACACGGAAAGGAGTATCCCAGAAAGATAACTGCGCCTCTCACAGGTTACGGTTGGCTACTGGTTGGTTGGATGGATGAGCATTCGTCTGACTTCTCTGTCATAAATTGACTACTTAAAAGACCCTGACTTGAAATATACTGAGCATCTTTAAAAATTAGTATATCTTATTATTGAGGAATGTAGAGAATTGAAGTGTTATGTTTTATTCACTCGGTTTTCCATGTTCAGAATGTCTGTTATGATGGTCGTATGAAATGACATCGACCTGGTTATGATGTCACAATGTCGTCTGTTGTGATGGTTTGGTATGTAAGCATATGATTTAGAATTATTATTTATAAGCCTTCCTAGGGATAAATACATTCCCTCTAATGATATATAGGTCATAGTTATAGGTCTTCGCTTATTTAATAGGATTACAATAACCTGAAATCGTCAATACCTATATCTGTTTTTTGTTGGTATCATATAAAAGTGAAAATTAAATCCCAATGTTGGAACAAACCTGTTCACTTGAAGTTCGGAATCACATCCAATGTGGCAATATGTAACAGTGGGCATAAGTTGGTAAAAAAGCGATTTTTAAAATATCTGAAGCGTAACTTTTACATCGTAAAAGCAAATTAGCACATCTGTAGCATATAAACGTTGGCATACCTTTATCCTCGTAAGTGCTACAGCTGGAGAGTTCTCCTTCCTCGTGTATTGAAGCTAACGGAATAACGTGGCGGTAGTTGTTGAGGCATGTAACATAAGTGAGCGGAGCATATTTGCACAGAGCAGTTGTTGAAATTTTCAACACATAATACACATCAATGTCATGCCCAGGGGGCATGGCCCAGGGGTCGCAAAGCCCATATCGATTTGCCAGCAATAATTAAGTAAATGCAATAAAGAGTAACTAAAAGTAGAAAAACACTATGTACACTAAGTATATCGATCACCAAAACTCATTTTGGTGTATCGTTCTTGCTAATTATATAACGTAAGTTAATGTTAGGCTAACCAGATGATTTTATCTTAAAGAGGTGGCTATTAAAGAATTAAAAATAGTTTGATATATTTTTGTATTGTGTATATATTTAGCTTTATTTTTTACCCAGCCAAAGGTAGATGAAACCCTTTCCATGAGAGTGGAAGGTAAACACGATTTTCTGTGCTTTGCAGTAATAAATCCAAGAAAAATTCTTGTTTTGAAAGTACTTTTTGTATAAAAAAATATTTTCCCATAGTACTCAAGTATTTTCGTTTTAATAATAATAATCATTGGTTATATATATATATAAATATATATGTACATATAAGGATTACGTTTAAGCTTTGTATTGCATGAAACCCCCGAAAAGAAGTGTTTATTTGAATATGTATGGCAGCAGCAGTTTAGCGTTGGTTCGTTTTCCACTTTTCCGCTTCCACTTTTATCCAAAAAAATAGCAAAAATCAGAGATATTAATTGAAGTTCTTAATACGCTAATTTTCGCCCTCATTTTTCCGAATGGCAACAGTGCTGATATCATCAACAATGGCGACAGGGATACAACAGCAAAAATGGTTGCGTGCCACTATTGCTGATGTAATGAGAGAAAATTACCGATTTTATGCGATTTTATCAAAATAAATAAATAAATAAATAAATAAATAAATAAAATAAAATTAAAATGTCATTCAATTTTTGGAAACCTCGTTTCGGGGTGCACTGGCTCTTGTCTAGATGCAGCTATGTAGCACATTCGTAGGCCTGGGTCTATTAGCTTACACGCAGACCGAATGAAAGACAGACACAGAGAATCTTACCTCCATTATGAGTAGAGTTATAGATCAGAGTACCTTTCATTGTTACATATTCAAAGAATCCTTTTAATAAGGTTCGAAACAATGAATTTACCAATTATTGTTTAAAGAGATTTTGTTAAATAATTGTTTTAGGCTTTTGTTGAATTACAACAAAGTTAATGTATGCATTTTTAACAATGCTTATAAACCATAATCATTAGAGATATCAAATCTAGTGGTGCTAAAACCTTACGTGTTGAGCTTATTTGCTTAACGTTGAGATAAGTGGCTATCTCCGTAAACTGGACATGAGGCCAAGCTGATGACTAATTTTTTTCGCCAAATTTGACGAGTCTCTAAGAGACGGCAAACTTGGCGACCATCTGAAGACATCTGAGTCTGGTACTGTAGTTGACCTCTGCATAACTGTTACTGGTATTGTAATTGATCTCTGTATGGAACTGTATCCGGCCCTTTTATGCATCTTTAACTGTACATGTCTCACAGTAACTCCGCCGGGTGGGGAAAACACTACATAAGCCTGCAGAGAGCATCGGTTTCCACGTTTTAGTTCAAAGCTGACATGTATTGAGAGGACTGAGAGGTCTCCGTCTGAGCTTGACTCTTTACATGAATTTTGCATTAAGTTGTTTTTAACGTTTTTAATAGTTTTAAGTGGTAACTACTAATTGTGCTCTATCATACTGAGAAAAACTATACGAGTATTTCTGTGTAAAGTTCCAGGACTGCAAAGTGTTTCTTTTAGTAAAATAAATTCTATCAACCTATCATCATTTCTTTGTGCATTCCGTCCATTAGAGTCTGTATGCACACAACAGTGCATTAATAATGTATGTAATTTTGGTAAAGCTATTATTTCCTACTGGTGTTCACAGTTCTGTCGTAAATTCATTTTACGTTTGGTTTCGGTGTTGTCCTGTCTTGAAATTAAAAAATAAATAAATAAATAAATAAAATTAAAAAAAGAAAAGGAAAAAAACCTGAAAGGTTTCATATTTTAAATTACGTCCAAAGGGGCGTTTTTTTAATATTTTGCCTGTTACCTTTATTTATTAAATATTACGTTCTTCGGACTTAAACCATAAAATTCAGTTCAACAGCAATATCGCAAAATAGTTTGAGCATATCTTTAGAATTTCCGATACAGAGTCTCGTGCGGTGGAGATAAAAATATTTTTTTTCTGTACAAGTTGTCGTTACTCGCTTTGAACTCTTTGAGTTTGTTAATCAAAAATTCATTCAAGTTTTACAAAATATGAAATCGATAATAAAACAAATATTATTTCAAATTTGGGCTTCCACATGCCCATATTCCCAGTAGGATTACGTCATTCAAAATTCGATGGCTCTAGGTACCGTTGCTTTATCACAATGCGAGAAATATACATACATTTATAGCAAATTTTTCATTATTTAGTTTCTGCAAATATAATGCAGGACACTAACATTTGGTGGCAAAAGTTTGAAAAATGAAACGGGCATTTATAGTGAACCAACGCAAAAAGAAAACAATAATCCTTCAGGGACAAAGCCCCTTCGGACAAAAAATGTGAAAGGGTTCAGATTTTGACGGTCACCCTGAAGGGTTTGTTAAAAGTTTTTTTTACGCTCTCTCTCTGAGCTGTGAAAAAACGCCACTTCTTTTGCAATACTCGTTGGAAGTTAAATTTCAAATATGAATAGTAATACTGCCTAGTGATTGTTTGCTCTTGAGTTTGTTAGAGCCTGAGGTTGTAATGGTGTGCGTTGGGTTAATGTCATCACGGTCGTGTATGAGGATTTCTAAATCCATAATACTGACGGTTTTCTGATGATCTTCCGATGATTTCCTTGGTGATCTGTAAAAATTGCACGTATTCATTTGACCTTTCAATTGCTGCTCATATGATCTGTCGTGTATCTCATTCAGGCTAAAGGCGCGGCGTAAGAATGCTTTTCGTTTGTGTTCATGGAGTTTTACATGGTTTGAGTAGCGTAGTGGTATAGCTATTTCTCCATTTCCAGTATCTTCATTGTTTATGTTTCAATTTCATAGTTACATAAATTTAGAGCGCCAGCTCACTTGGTACTATGTCCTTCTTATCACGGTACCTGTATTCAACGTTGAAAGAGTTATGAAGTAGGCTAGAAATCAACTAATGTATATTAATGAAGCATGAAGTACCCGTCAGAAGGATAGTTTATGTGTCATGATGTATATACAACCGCATCTATCTTTCCATCCCGAGTAAAACGGAAACTTTAGTTATTACATTTTACTTAAACAGTCCGAAGAATCAAAATTTAACTCTTGCCCACATTTTCCAAGAATATTTTGGAAAACTAGTATGGCATTATCATATTGTTACGTAATTTATCCAATTTCTGACACCAGTTGTTACGTTATTTCCTTCCTTCACGTTCGTACGGGGTTCGTAGATTTGGAGTGAATAACACTTGATGGAGTATCGAAACACACTTTATTTAGACAATATTGTCAGAACAGCTCCAAAACACGTTTTACAGTCGTCGATGAACTACTATAAACACGCTGACACGATCAACGACACAGCCTTCAGGTTATCAGGCTATCACGGCGGAGACAGCTTCCTGCAAAGCAGCCGACTCTGCTTTCCGGAGTACAGCTCTCGACTCTGCTTGGTCGTTCTCGAAACTCCATGTACTCTCGAGACTCTCCACGCTACAACTCGCGATGCACTCGACGATACACAGAGCACAGCTCTCGACGACCCACCCGGCACTCGCTGCCTGGCTGTCAACTCGGGGGATCGACTCCGCAGGGATTTACTCGCTAGACGAGACTCCCGATCTCCCGACACTCACTCCCGATGAGAGACAACTCTTCCTCTCAATGAAGCACACTGACTGACTGCGAACCAGCAGGGTTTATATAGCTTTCGGCTTGTGTTCGGGAACATTCTGGGCTAAACCGGTAAGAATTCGTTCCAGAAGGTTCTCCAACCGTCCATGGTATATCGCCAATTTTGTCGCCAAATGGGTGATTTCTCGCCAGATGTTGCAACCATGCCCTCCTTTGCCATTTTTATGGCAACGCCAAAACTGCTTTGCGGGGAAGCCATCCTGCCCCGCCTGTACATTTCGTAACAATACGTAATAATTTACATTATATATTTCAAAAACTTCCAATTTTACGACAAGAAATTACTTTCTTTTAATTTTTAGACATATGATTAAATATCAGAACATAATGTTAAAACGCAGAATACCTTAAGAATACAAATTAAAACCCATTGTCATAAGCAAATCCAATGCTTTGCGCTTGTTTATGTTATAGAACTTAATTTATACTATAAAACTAATGACGAGTGTAAAATGGATGCATGTCTCCCCTTGAAGATGAACATTACGTTTAGATTAATTACATCTGAGCGTTACTTAAGTGTAATGATATCGAAATTAATTTTGCTAATGTATTTCTTTCTTTTTCAGGTGAAGTATTAGGAACGTGCGCTGGAGTTATAAACCATGATAACTTAGCTTTCTTCGGTGCCTATAGTGTGCGAGAGGAATACCGTCTTCTAGGAATAGGTTTGAAGGTATGCAAGCAATATAACGAATCCACACATTCTGTTAAATATTCGAATATGCTTAAATATCAGATTGTTGTTTGTCTCCTCCCTCGCTTATTTTCCCTTTAGATATGTTGTAGAGACATTAGGTATATTTTTGGAAGCAGAAAAGATGAAAAATATGCAACCACCTTCGCCGGGAATCGGAACCACGGACCTCTGGAATACCGACCCAGCGTGCTACCGTTACACCATGAAGGCACGCTAGGGAGGTGGGAGAAATACCTTATATACTCCCCTTTTTAAAGGGCGACTAAAGTTTTAGGGGACCTAGTCGTCAAATCATGGGTGCGGAGAATCATCATCCACAACCCTTTTAGTTCGGGCGCCGCTTGTAGAGTCATTAGGATTTTTTTGGAAGCCAAAGAGATGAAAAATTAGCAACCGTTTTCGCCGGGAATCGAACCACGGACCTCTGGAATACCGGATCAGCAGGCAGAACCACTACACCACGAAGGACGCTAGGAAAGTGGGAGAAATACCATATAATGTTTCTTAAATAAATTGTGAAGTCATTAAAAGTAGTCATCCTCATGACTACTCCGAAGCTGTGATCAGTTGACAAGTGATAGATCTTAGTTATGTTTCCTATCGGGAAAAGGTCTTATATTTTATATTTTACTATCCGAAATAAAAAAAGTAATTGTCTTCTCAAGATACTGTTTAAAAGAAGTAATTACTTTCTAAGTTGTTCCTCTCATATCGGATATGCATCGGGACTGAAGTAAAATAGTACACCATGTGGCATAAGAGTCATTAAGCTGCTTTTATTTTCATACTATTTGTTATAGGTCTTCGGATCTACTTCTAGTTACAGAAGTATTTTAAGTGACTCAACTATTCGTCTATTGGTATTCTTAAATTTAATAATTCAATTTTGTAAAAATTACGAAATTTATTCACCAGTCCATGTAATTGCATTTAATAAAATTCATGTTCATTATAAAAGTGAAATGCATCTGTTTGCAGATAGTTAACTTAAGTGACGTTAACTTTAGCTTGACTTAAATGAAGTTACGCACAAAAATTGAGAGAGATAATTAATTAATTTCTTTTTTACATTTTGTTCGGCTTTCGTTAAGTAGTTTTCTGCAAAATAAATTACAATAATTCTAGACTGATGTTTTTCCTCTCTGTCATTCAATGATACTCTATTGTGATTTATTTTTGTTGTGGTTACTAATCTCGCTTGTCTGATATCAGATCAAGACCTCGAAATTCATCATGACAAACAAGCACGATTGGGCCTGTTGTTGGCAAGAGCCTTTGGAACCATACAGGTGACAGTACGGCTGTAGGTGCTCAGTTCTGCCCCCTGTTTTGAAAAAGAGCACCCCGAGGGGACGGGTCTGAGAGTCTTCTATCCCTCTTTCCCTACCATCAAGTTCTCGAGAGGACTTTCGGCTCCCCTCATACTTAGAGTACCATAAGCCACACAGACACTTACAAACATCAGTGCCTTCTCTGGGATTCGAACCCGGATTTCATTACGGCAATCAGACTCACTAACCGTTATTCCAGTTGAGCGACGTTTTGTGATGCACTGCGCATAACAAACATAAATCTTGTCTTCAAACATAAGAATTGCAAATAATGATTAATGAAACAAAGTATATTGAAGTATCATGTCAATGACTTCAAAATAAATTAAATCGCACTGATCAATAATGCATCATACGGCTTCCAAAATGTATATCGTAAACTCAAATTCAAACCTTCAACCGTTAGATCGTTTTGCATAAAATAAATAGGTTATTCGGGCAGTGGCTAGTAAATAGTCTGTGTATTTTATTAGAAAAATTTATTTTATATTTTAGTTCTTATCATCTCTACATATAATAAAAGAAAGAGTCTGTCTCTGTGTGTTTGTCTTTCGATCGTGCTGCGCGTAAGCTAATCGACCCGCGGCTACGAAATTTGGTACATAGGTGCATCTAGACAAGAGCCAGTGCACCTCGAAGCGATTTTTTCGAAATTCGAATTCGAATTTTTTTTGTTTTATGTTTCGTGACGAAATCGCATCATTTTGAGACATAATGGGCTATAGGAAAGCGAGATTTTACTCTACACACTCCAATTTCCCATCGTCATGAAACGTAGGCACTTAGCTATTTTACGCACTTAAAATAAATTTCGTGTTTCAATAAATCGGTTAAATGCGAATTTATTTAACAAAGGGAGCTTAATACCTTTTCAACGGGATTTTTTCTAAAAAAGTTTATTTTTAAAAATGTACAGTTTATTTTTCTTTGATTTTTGGACGCGTTAAACTTTCATCCTTGCGACTGCTTTTACAAAACGAATTTTGGAAAAATGATAATATTTTGTATTTAAAAAAAACTTAAATGAAGCTTCCGAGTACACTTCTCACATCTCACATCTTTAAAAATGCGATTTTGGCAACCATTTTCCTGTCTTATTGTAGTTGATAGATTTTTGATGAAATCGCATCATTTTGAATAGTTTCATTCTATTATAAATATGAGTTTGGCAACAATTTTTCATCGTATTTCTTATGTCACTGTTTTTAAGTGATGGCCATATTTCATCGTCATTTATATATATATAATACATTTTTATTGGTTTTTTTTTTTTGATAAAGTTGTTCTGCAGAGTAAAGTTCTGCCCGGAATTTTATGTTTTTTTGAGTTGCTTTCATGTTATTTTTTACTTATTTTACTGTTTGTAAGATATTGAAATTTTTGCATGATTTTTTTTCTTCAACGGAAAGTTGGTTAATTTTTTTTATTAGGATAGTTAATATTTGTATTAAGGGATATAGCTTATTTCATTGTAATTTTTTTCTCTTGAAAATATAAGATAAAATATCATTAATTTTACTTTGCTTTTCAGAATTTTTTGTTTTTGTATTCTTTTTATGTTATTTATTGCTCATTTCACTGTTTTAAAGATGTTGAAAAGTTTTGAGTGATTGTTTTAGGAAACAAAGTTCTTAAACCTCCTACATACCATTTGAGTTCTTAAGATTTGCAAAGGGAATTTGATTAATTTATTTATTAGGATAATTAATATTTGTATTAAGGGATATTGCTTATTTCATTGCAATTTTGTTATACGTAATAACTTTTTTTAATGAAGTTGTTCTGCAGAGTAAAATTGTACGCAGTTTTAAATTTAACGTTTGGTGTGCCCTTCAGCCATTTTTCCGGTACATTTAAAAGCCAGACGAAGGCTGGCAGCGAAGCTGCTAGTAGACTGGTGTGCAAAACTTAAGCAACAATGCAAATTTTAATCAGATAACCATGCAGTTGCAGAAAAGGGGTTCTTGCTATCAGTACAATGAACACGCAATTCAGTAGAAAGGTCATGCATATGCAAATGTCCGAAAAAAAAAACATCACAGGCTACGTGATCGTACGCAAAACGCGTGCGCTCCACTCGAGACTACCATAAAAGGAAGGACGAAGACGCAATTAAAGACATTCGCTGCAAGTACAGTGAAATATGGCTAGAAGAAATCATCTGGATGACTTCACGAGTGGAAGAATGATCGGAAAGCTGGAGGAGGGCGTAGTGTGACCAGTGTGGCTGAAGATTTCGAAGTCAACAAAAGTGTCGTTTCGCGGGCTTGGAAAGCCTTCCAAACCATAGGTACAGCTATTAGAAAGGTTGGTGGTGGCCGCTCCAGGACAACAACTGCAGCAGATAACCGATATATCGTCCTACAGGCGAAAAGAGCCCAAAACCAGTCAGCAAGCTCCACAGCTCAGCAACTGTGTACAGCAACCGGCGACAATTGTCGTGGTTTACTGTGTCCAGACACCTTCACAAAGATGGCCTATTCGCCCGCCGTCCTGAACGCTGCATCCCTTTGAAAGTTGGCCATCGGCGCCACCGTTTAGAGTGGTGCAAGGAGCGCAAAAACTAGGCATCTCATCAATGGAGTCGTGTCCTCCTTACGGATGAGAGTCGTTTTAGTGCCCCAAGCGATTCTCAACGCCAACTTATTTGGAGAGAGGTAAGGACACGGTTTAATCTCAGTAACATCACGGAAAGAGACCATTACGGTGTCCTGGAGATCTCGTCTGGGGAGGGCATTATGCTGAACGGGCGGACAGAGCTCCACGTTTTCGACAGAAGTTCTGTAACCGGAGATCGCTATTGTCAGGAGGTGATCCTTCCCTATGTGCGTCTGTTCCGAGGTGCAATTGGACCAGACTTCGTTTTTATGGATGACAATGCACGGCCACACCGGACTCCTGCTGTTCAGAAGCTACTGAAAAGTGAAGATATCACTCAAATGGATTGGCCAGCATACTCCCCTCATTTAAATCCCATAGAACATGTATGGGATGCTTTGGGGAGACGCCTTGAGGCATGATTACATCCTCCGGCGAACACCCAACAACTGAAACAGATGCTGATTGAGGAATGGGCACTCTCACCTCAAGATCTGTTGGACAATCTGGTGCTGAGTGTGGGGAGACGGTGAGAAGTAACCATTGCAGTAAGGGGAGAGCATATCCCATACTGAGTTCAATAAAGCTTGTTTTTGTTTAATTCCATACTGTATGTATTGTATTCATTTTTGCGCAATTATGCTTTCGTCATCGTTTAAATACAAAATGCTGTCTCTTATTTCTGAATTTCATTTCTCTCATATGATATTTCGTGAATTTATGTCAAAAAGAACACCTGTTGCTTAAGTTTTGCACACCAGTGTAGTTTATATTTCAACGGATCTACTTTTTAACAGTTGAACACAGTAGTAATCTGGACCTAATGTGATCTCGGTGGCCATTTGAAAAGATTTACTATATGCTCCAGCATCTTAGATTCACTTTAACTGTGTAGCTTTCATACCTTTATTATGAAATAGAGAAACTTGCACGTTTCTTTTATGGTTTGGTTTATGACGCTAGTGTGAATTCTCGTCTTTATATGATAAACTATAGTTTGCTATATTCGACGAGAATAGATCTGTTCTTGCTATTTGTAAAAATCCTGTAGTTTCATTTCCTTGCTTAATAGATCTATGGCGAAAATCTTTACTTCAGTGAGTGGCAACATTCATCTTTGCTGCGCAATATGTACGCCATAGCATGAGTATAAAACTTGAACTTTTTCGCTGAGACTTACTTTCTTCTCACCTCTTTTTGAGTGTTCTTTGCCGATATCATGCGTGAACTCGTGTGTGTTAAAGTTTAGCCTTTTGACAGATGGGATTTCCTGTTTTAAATGTTAAAGTTTGTTTTGACTGTTAACTGAAGTTTTGTGATTCTTAGGCCTTTCTGATGACCTTCTGATGGAGTCTAATGGCTATTAGATGTCGCCATATTTGGCGACCCAGACGTGATTTGAACACACAACCTTCTGATCTCGCCTCCTTTAAGCATAAGGAACTTCTATAGTTCATTGGATTTAAGTCTACGATAATCTACACAAGCATTTACATTTCGCTCAGCTTTAACAGACAATAATAAACAACAATTCAGTAACATGTTCCGCGGATTTATTTTAAAAATTACATGGCCTCATGAATCGCAGGACAAATAAGTAGTTTATCTTAAAAATGAGAGACACAATTTTACATCCATTTAACATTTACAGCTCCTGTTTATGCAGATATCATCGTTAATAATGCTAAGTACTTATGCAAATAATTTTCTTTCATAGCCTTTACTGAAAATCAATCTTTTTATTAACCATAAAGAATAGTATAAAATGCAGATATTTTACTAACAATACAAAAAGCTTTAAATCAAAACAGCAAATAACGAATATCTTTCATTGTCTCATCGAATTTCAAAATTAAACTCAAAGTAGGTAAACCGAAAAATAGTGTTTCTGATTGAATTATCATGAAAGTTATTAGACAATAATAAATTGAAAATGCGTATTTTCTTTTACCGGGTATATAAATTTATTGCACGAGGAAACAAAATGTAATGTTTTATATATTAATCAGGTATTGTAACCTATACAACACCGGATATCTTTTAACCACATTCTACTAATTTTGTTAACAATCGAATCGCAAGCTCTACTGCAATTCAAGAAATTAATGATAATTAGAATTCTTGAAAAAAAGATTACTATGCAGTTATATATTTTATAATATTATATTTTCAGATATATACTGCGTGCATGGAGCGTATCGGTGCCAGGAATACAGCCGGGAATGCTGTGCCGGGAAAAGAGGAACTTCATCGAGATAAATTTAAAATCCCGATAGTTGAAAACAAATGGAAATTATTAGTCAACGAAATATATGAAGACATTTCTCCAGAAAATTTATCGGATGAAGTTCCCAATGGAATTTATGTCGAACATTGCCGAAATTCTCATCTACCATTAATTTACAAATACGATTTCAACCTCGTAGGCTATAGACGTGATCTGGCCATTAAACTTACCTATGAGGAAGAAGACACCAAATCGTTTGTAGCAATCAAAGATGGTGAATGCGTTGGGTTCGGAGTTATCAAGAAAACCTGTCGAGGAGTACATCACTTAGGCCCGCTGTATGCCAATGATGCTGCAGTAGCTGAAGCAATATTGAAGAGGCTCACCATGTCTGCTCCTGAAATAAAAGGTCTCTACATGGCGACCGTTAGTAATAATGCACCCGCTAATGATTTTTTAAAGAAACTTGGTTCTCCAACTGTGGAAATATGTGCACGGGTGTTTCGACGAAGGAACGACGACGAAGAAATGACGAATGTAGATACTAACAGAGTTTTCGCTCTCTTCGATATGCATTATACTCCTTCCTAAAAAACCTTGAAAGCATTATGTAATTGCACAAACAGAGATATGAAATATAGTAAGGAATTTGGACTTCAGAAATATAACTAATTAAAAGTTAAAAATCTAATTCGTCTTTAAAAATGTTCATCTAATAATTTTTAATCAGAATATAGTTGCGAAATTTTCAAACGCAAGACGCTTTTTCTGTGCAGTTAGGTTATAATAATAATTGTGATATGTTTATCTATGATTTTGTTCTTACACCTTGTGATTGTGTAATATATAAATATAAAGAAATTACTATATTAAATATTTAATAATTATTTTCAATAATGTGTAACTTAGAGTTTAATGCATAATTCAAATTTACAAAATTGCGTTTTAATATGTATTAAGAACAAATTACTCTTTCTGTATTTTGTTCACTTTGAACAAATAAAACACTTTCTTTGGATTTTCTGTAGCGTTTCTTGATTCCATAAGTCTTGCCACAGTATAAAATCCCGTTAGAAAATAAATAAAGTTAAAATCAGAAAAAAGGGGGAAAGAAAATCTGAGAGGATTTTGATTTTTACGTTGCACAAGAGGATTTAACGTTTTTTATGCTGTTGCTGACCATCTCAGGTTGCCAGTCTCTTGGACTCTCATCTGCTAACACATTGTTTTTGTCTTTTTTGCTTCATTTTTAAGCATCGCTATCTTCGCACTCACGTCAAAGTTAGCATAAAAAAGAAATATATATTCTTACGGAATGTGCAGGCGCGGTAAGATGGCTTCCCCGCAGAGCAGTTTTAGGGTTGCCATAAAATGGACAAAAAGGGTAGGCAGGGTTGCCACATTTGGCGAGAAATCGCCCATTTGACGATATTTGGCGACAAAATTGGCGATAAACCATGGACGGTTGGAGAACTTTCTGGAACGAATTCTTACCGGTTTAGCCCAGAATGTTCTCGAACACAGGCCGAAAGCTATATAAACATTGCTGGTCCGCAGTCAGTCAGTGTATGTCTCTCATCGAGAGTGTGTTTCGTCTGGCGGGTCAATCCCTGCGGAGTCGATCGAGTTGACAGCCGGGCAGCAAGTGCCGAGTGAGTCGTCGAGTGCACCGAAGGAGTCTGTTAGTGTAGCGCGGTTAGTGCATCGTCGAGAGAGTGTGTTGAGCTCCGGCTACGACTGAACCGAGAGTCAGGAGCTGTGCTCTGTGTGTTGTCGTGTGCATCGCGAGTTGTAGCGTGGAGAGTCTCAGTCTCGAGAGTACATGGAGTTTCGAGAACGACCAAGCAGAGTCGAGAGCTGTACTCCGGAAAACAGAGTCGGCTACTTTGCAGGAAGCTTTCTCCACCGTGATAGCCTGATAACCTGAACGCTGTGTCTCTGATCGTGTCAGCGTGTTTATAGTAGTTCATCGACGACTGTAAAACGTGTTTTGGAGCTGTCTTCACAATATTGTCTAAGTAAAGTGTGTTTCGATACTTCATCAAGTGTCGTCGTTATTCACTCCAAATCCACACGAACCCCTTACGAACGTGAAAGAAGAAAAACGCAATAACTGTTGTCAGAAGAAGAAAAGAAAAACGTAGCAATATAATATAATTTTTATCAGAGCGGCTAGTGTCATTATGTAAAAATACGAATATTTAATATTTCTAATTGGATATCTCATGGTTTAAATGCATTTTTATTTAAATCAGCATATCGGATTAAAAAATATAAAAAAATATTTTTAAGAACTGCTCTTTTGCTACCCAGTAACATAAAAATTAAGTCTGGGCAACACATGATGGTGCATGTCGATAATAAGTATTCTATTTTTAAGGTGTTACAACACTTTGCTTTCAAATAGTTAAAATTGCGAAATAAATTAAGAGATAAATATCTGACATTTCGCCGAATGGTAAACGTCTGATGTGCTGGCATAACTAAAAAAAATTTTTCACCGAGTAACCAGTTAACGTTGGGAGCCTTCAAACACTTTTTGCACATGACAGTGATTTCCATGCCTATAAGTGCTATTCGCATTTGAAAGGTTCAATGTCTTTGAAGTCTTTAACTAGAACATTAAATATGAGATATTTATTGTATGAAACGGCTAAAGTGCAGAATCGTCCACTTATTTGTTTGGCGCTTTTTACAAGAATAAGAAGAATTGGATTTTTGTCAATTTTCTTTGACATTTTAAGTGAAAATAGGTCGATGTGCACATGGACATTTTAAGGGAGTGCACAGTGCCATTTTTGTGCAATTCTGGGATTTTTTTTAAGTGAAAATAGGTCGATGTGCACATGGATACGGAGTATGTGCAATTCTTAAAAACGCGCCAAGCAGTGGACGATTCTGCACTTTCTCCTATGAAACTTAGTGAAATATTTTCTGCGATTTCCAAACTGAGCGAGACTCGGCAGAAAAGTAAGGTGACCTATATTATTGATCTCTCTGCTTAAAAGAGATCCATTTTATCATCTTCATATTATACCATTTAGAAAAATAGAAAATAGTTCCCATATGGGTTGGCATGGACCCTTTGGGGATCAGTGAAACTTTAAAGGGGTTCAGTGACAGTCAGCGGGTGGATAGCTGAATCTGGATAGCTCTGGCTCTCTAACAAAGTCAGTAGAACTTCAACTTTAAATACTTGCTCCTTTTTTCATTTGCATTTAAACGCGGTTTTGAAACCACGTTCTGGCCGGAAATTGTAAGCTGAACTAAGAAGTGAAAATAAAGTGGCTTAAATTAAACATTAACTGTAGATTACAGGAAGAAACATGACGCTAAAACGCATGAAAATTCTCGCAAAAAACTTTTTTTTATCTTCCTTAATACTCTTTTATACGTATAATACTTTGGTATGTATAACATCTTTTAAATTGATGATTCACACATAACAATATGAAAACAAGCACATTTGCAGTCAAACGTTTTCATATTAATCAGTAGAGATTAAAATGAGATAATTCCGCAAGAGAAGAAGAGGAAGAATGTCCTTGCTTGTTTGCATTAGCTGTACATAAGTCACGTGATCTCTGAGGTTATCTGCATTGTTTGTTTACAAAAGGTATACATAACTCACGTGATCTATGAGGTCAGCGGAATGTACCTCATTGTAAACTTTGAAGTTTTTAAAGTAGTTTTTACTTTCTTGTACGAAAGTATTGTAATCGCGAAAAATTTCGGGTACCATATTTCAAAGGAATGATTCATCTTGAACTTTTCCGAATCCCATTTGGGTGATTTTTTTTTCAAAACGTTTGCACTTACGAATTCCCCTGGGAGTCAACTTGGAGCAACTCCCGGCTTCTGCCTAGAAATGCTCGACTCCTGGCACACATAATCAGTCTTCACAATAACGTAGAACCATGGATTCTTCGGTGGTAGGTTCAGGCTCAGCAGGCACTGTACTGGAACTGTCTTGTCTGCCCCTTGGTAGTGGTGACGTTACATGGTGAGATATCGAAGGTTGTCCTTGGGGGTATGGCTCCCCTTGGTTAACAGTAGGGAACGGTCGATGACATATCTTCGTTCTCTTTGTTGGTGACTGCTTGTCGGTCGTCAATGACTTGTGTTCTATTAAGTCCGACCGTGTAAGGGCATATTAAAGCCCACGTCTGGGAGTAACCCCTAGTGTACTGTACGTATGCACAGAATAATGGACATTTTATTGAAAAACGATTCCACAGGTCGGACCTAAGAACGAGCCTTATGTTTATCCTTGTGAGATATTCTTCGTCGTTGTGGTACCATCTAGTATTACGTACCCTTTGCAGTCTTCTAAATAGCTATGAATGAAGACAACGAGTGTGCTTGGCATTCTCTTACTATTATTACCAAACTATGAATTATATTACTACCAAACCCTGAATGACGTTTAGTCACCAGAGCGAAAAGAAAGCCCCCTGGATACCGTTTGTTATAACAAGTAAGTGATCGTCAGCTGTTATTTTATGAGAGATTCTGCATGAGTTCTTGGAGTAGATTCGGCTGTACGGCCTGTTCGAAAGCCACGTTGTCACATTTGCTACATGCATTATGTCATGTCTGTCGAGAAAATAATTAATAGATAGTGACCCATTGATGCGCTTTAAGTATTGTAGGAGACATACTGGTCATTATGCGGAGAGCATCTTGGGTCCTTGCCGCTCTTTAGGAAAAGAATCACTACCGCTAATTTGTTGCTCATAAGAAAGCACCATAGTCACTAATAGGTTGATCAGTATACGCTTAGAAGCTTGGGAAATGCGTAATACATTACTTTTACTGAAGGTGTTTTAAAAATAATAGGACTAGTGGAACGTATGTACACAATTTATTTCTTTAGCAATCCAAAAGCCATTTAAACAAACAAAAAAGCTCTTTGTCCCTTTTTTTTTTTTTTTTTTGACAATTTTTGTGAATTGCGATCTCTCGTTTCACCCCTTAGCATTGCCCTGAGAATCTAAGTTTTTGCACAGTTTGTGAAGCTTGCATTCCCACCATTAATCTTGTTTCTGAAAAACAAAATATCATATAACCCCTTTCTATAACTATTGATTCATATATTAAACGCAGTTAATAAATAGTTTCTTATACGAATGAACCCCTAAACAAATTCTTTTTCCTGAATTTTAAGTTAAAAAGCATGCTCTACATATGTTCTATGTTCTGAGGTGACACCCATGATCGAAAGTTAAGAAAATAATACAGCAGAAAACTTTTAAGTTTCTTTGATTACAGCTACTGACTGGAACTTTGCAATAAATTAGCTGTATAATACACCGACATTCTGCGCTGAACTATTATATCAACTGGGTCATAAAAGCAACTCTTAAAGTTGCAGCTGAGCTGCGACTTGCCAAAACCGGGCTGAATGTCAGGCGTTCACGTTTATTTTGATTTACAACTTCCACTGTAAATCAGAAGCAGATCGCGGAGGCAACAGTCCAGTCTACTACAAGTCATGAAGTTATAAATTTTCTCCTCAATTTAAACCACACCATTTGCTACAAAATTGGCATAAACCTCTGGACTGAGCAGGTACGCGAAGAAACGAGGTACAAAGAAAAAAAATCAATTTCATTTTCGTCATTTGCAGGAAAGATATTGGTGAATCTGTCTGTATGTGTGATGATTTAGAAATTGATGACATACCGGAAAATATGATTCATGGAGCGGCAGAGCCTGGCGCATGAAAGATAACAGCTTTAGTGATTGATTTCAAAACAGTGGAATTTTAGATCAGGAACTCATATCATCTTTCTTTCTTTTCATCATCGACGGAAAAGCTGGCCCACTGGGTTAGGTCCAATAAATGAGTTCACGCACAAATTACCTAGAAAGAAATATCTTTGGTGACGAAAAGTGTTTCGATTTCCGAACACTCATGTCGGCAACAAATAATTTTCAGGAGTATTTTGAGGTAACCTCTGATATAGAATTATCATTAAGGGACATATAG